TATGCTGAGTGGACCTTAGTTACAGTTTCTGGGAAAGAACGTGTTATCTAGCGTGATCAACAATCTAAACAAGACCAGCACTCTCAAGCCCTCGGCCACGATGACTTCTGACGTCGTGTTAACACAATTATTGACGGTCTCCAAAGGTTCTATCTACTCAGTTTCACTCACAAGGCTTGAGTCAAACCGTCGTATGATTTTCAGTCACTTTCCAAAGATGTCGCACGCTGGGATCGACCGCTCCAGCCCGATAACATCAGGAAGTCGCCTTCCTGACAAATCGACCATGGTGAGATTCGAACCGGGGTCTCATTATCCGAATGCTAACGTTCTAACCACTCGGCCACGCGCTCATATAAAACATTGGGGGATCGCAGCAAGTATATTTGCACCACAATTTAAACGATTCCAAGGATACTCTTTCTCGTACATTCTGCGAAGTTGTCTCTGTCCATTCTGGCTTCAACCAACAAACTCAGCAAACAATGTTGCGTAAAGACTGTCTTGGAACCAATTCAACTTCTCCAACATTATCTTACTTTTTCATTTTATATTTGAAACATCACAAAACTAGAAAGTCATAAGTCTAGATCATCTTTCAATTGATATGTATTTTGCAGATTGTAAAACCGAATGAGAAAGCCTACGTCAGCAAGAAGAATAAAAATGTCCACAAAGTTATCGTCCACCTGATTAAAAAGAATCGACGTCGACCAATTAGTGCCGAAGTGGTTGTCAAGGGTTGTTTCCATCCAAAAACCACAGCAGCAACTCCATCATCTTTTGTTTCAACAATACAAACTACCGTCATCGGTAAGTATTTGCTCCTGTTTAAAATCATCATTTTTCGCAAAGTTAGATGATCTACAATATTTAAATTCGACCAAAACTCTATTTACACATCGGATAACAGTAAGCAAGAATCAGCAAAAGTATAAACGCTTTATTTGTCTCCCAAGTGTCTAGATTAATTGGCAACATAATAAGGAATTATTTTCAAATTTTTTTCAAAATACCAACACTAATACTGCATCGCAGTCTCCATTGATAATTTTTTTTAAGCATTTCACCCCTAGCAAGGCCGGAAGCCACTAGCACGCAAGGGGTTACAGAGGATTCGGAGCGAGAGCAGATAGGAGTGATAGAGGAAAGGATGAAGAGAAGGATAGGGGATAGATCAAGGCAACTGGAGATGTCGATTGACATTACATTTGAATAGTTGGAGATTATAGCTATCAGGGAAACAGAAAAAGTGAAGGGAGTCCCGCAGGCGAGAGGTGCGAGACATGAAACTATTGGAGAAGAAGAGGCGGCAACATTTAACAGTTTCAACAGTGAAAGGGTGGGAGCAGGATGCCAGCCTAGTAGGTCGCTTGAATTCGCGAAGTCTGGGAACCAGCGAAAGCAGCTTATCGGAGCAATTACTATGAAAGTATTTGTAAAAAAGACAGAGAGTATCTACAAACATCTACATCTGAGTTGAAAGATAATTAAAATAAAACATTTCAGTCCCAGTTAATATGTCTATCAACTTATCAACCCATTTCTTGCCAGATTTACACCTCGAAATCTGTATTAATATTTTGCCAATTCTGATACACGATTAAAATGAACTTTCAGCTTTCCTTCTGCACAGTACCTATGCGACATTGTCACAATATCAACTGAAGGAATTGGTTTACATAAACATTTTTCTTTATTTTGTGAAATACGTATGAGTATATCCAGTCTTAAATTAATTTTGGGTCTGAATTTGCATCATGCATCATATATAGAAATTAATGCCACCTAGGTGTAGGAGGGGGGGCTGGAAATGTGACATGGAAAACAGGCTTGCAGGCAGCTACAAAAAGGTTTGGTGACCAATGCTGTAAACGATATATGAAAGATAGGCGCTTAATTATTTAAACAATTTATTTCAAAGTTAGATGTCGACAACTTCTTTCTACTAATATGAATACCACTTTTTTTATTTTTACAGGCACATCTCAAACACCATTCTTAAAAAGTAAGTATCATTTAAACAGATCGAAACAGAAATACCCTGGATTTAACCGTCTCAAATTAATGTTATACTTGTCGTTAGTTGTGCCAGGATGACTTCGTATTTATTTACCAGAAACTTTTGAATAAAACGAACTGACTCAATAACATAAATAATATATATTTGATTTAGATGGAAGTGTGTCCTTTGAAATTCGATGTAGCAAAAGTTTATAAGGCAGATCTTTGGTCGCAGTTCATTTGGGGTCAGTAGTAGGTAGTTTAGATATCAGACCTTGGTAGTAGTAGTAGTAGTAGTAGTAGTAGTAGTAGCTTAGAAATAGGTCAAAGTCAATCTACTGTGTTTGCTCTGTCCTAAGAAGGGCAGAAAATATCATTAACAGACGATTTCTTAACTTCTTCAGGCATCACGTATGAACGGTTTCTCTGGAGGTACCTTCTCTTGTTCCTGTTTCGTTTGCGGTCCCTTCTCCTCTTCTTGCCGAGGGCCGTCATTTTATATCTTTTTGACCAGATTCCCAGGCTACTGACGCGAACCTTGGTTTCGGCATCTGCAGCCTCTTTTTGTTTTGTTTTTTTTTTTTTTGATTAGCCAAAATTATTTTATTTTCCAGCGTTCCTTTTTTAGCAGAAGTTATGCGTGAAGCTTCTCTGATTTTTGGTATTTTTTAGTAACAAAAGGCTAGACTCTGGTCCAGAAAACTTCTGCCGTTTTTATTTTTGTTTATATATTTTATTTTTTTCTCGAAGCTCACTACAATAAATTTTAAAGTCAGCTGTTTCTTTTATTTTTTCAGGCACATCTCAAACGCCATTCTTAACAAGTAAGTATCATCCCAATATATTCGACAAAATATCTTTGATTTCACTCTGAAAATAATTTGATTCGGGTTCAAATTAATTTTGCATCGTTTAGTTATCTTTTGCTTGATGGAAACTATATTTCTTCTTGCAGCAACAGGACACCAAGAATTGTGTCATCTTGACGATGGTATGAAGAATCCTGCCTATATTCCAAATCGAAATATCAAGACATCCTCTACAAAGAATGGACGGAAGCCGACAGACATACGACCTGGTGGTGATGTGTGGACATCCAAAAAGAACGACAAGAAACCAAAAATCGAAATCACATTCGGAGACAAAGCCGTTCCGACACGAAGCGTCAAGGTTATAAAAACACGAAACGTGAATAAAGTCAAAGTTATCTTTCACTTAGCAAACAAGAAAACAATCACCAAGGTTGGTATTGCATTTTTAAGGCTCTTTTTCTTTTGACAACACATTAAAATATCACATTTTTCTTGGAATGTTATTTAAAACTGCGGCTGGAAATTTTGCACCACAACTCATACTATGTTTGGTATTTTCATTTTATGGTTCTCCTTTACGCTCTGAGGCACGCATTCAAAGATCAGATATTTGTTGGAATGAAAATCTAAACAGCTGCGCGCTTTTTAGCACAACAATTTCCTGATTGCATTTTCTCTCGTGCATTTTGCTAAATTTAGATTGGCCTGCAAAATTGGCACACAATCATTTGTAATAACTGCCTGGAAGTCATTTCGACAGCACTATCTTTGTCATTGTATAATTGAAACATCACAAAACTAGTCAGTCGTTAGGCAAAATAAATTTCCTTTCGTTGTGTCGACTAACAATGAAGTATCGACGTAGTTTTAACCTGAAATCCATCACATTCGCCTTATAACCAAACAGAAGTACGTCACTAAGGTTGTTAATGTATATTTATGGCTGTTTTTCCTTCAAAAACACATTCAAATATCACATTTCTGTTGGAATTTAAATTGAAATTGTTGCAGATATTCTGGCAGAACAATTCACACGATTCCAACGATTAAATTTTCTCTTTCGTGCTCCGAAATTTACCATATGCCGATTGTGGCTCCAGCCAGCAAAATCGACACATGGCTTTGCGCAATGGCAGCATGGCAGCCACTTTTACTTCTGCTAAACTATTTTTATCAATTTAGGTTTGAAACATCACAAAACTAGAAAGTCATAACTCTAGATAAGTTAGCGACTGTTTTGTCTTTTGCAGATTGTCAAACCGGATGAGAACGCATACGTCGGCGAGAAGAACAAAAATGTCCGCAAGTTAATCATCTCCTTAATTAAAAAGAATCGACGTCGGCCAGTTGATGCTGAAGTGATTGTCAAGGCTTGTTTCCATCCAAAGACTACTACATCAACCCCATCAACTTATATCTCAACATCAAAATCTACCGTCACAGGTAAGAACTTGCTCTTCGCAATGTTAGATGAACTACGACATTTCTGATAACTCCATTCTGACATCCGATAACAATAAGCAAGAACCATTGACAACATGGAAACTTCACTTACCAATTGTTGAGATTAATTGACTTTATTGAAAATAAAGATTTTTGTCAAATATCTTTAAAGACAAAAAACCAGTAACCCATCGCAGCTTCTGTTAGTAAAATGTCCTCACAACTGAAAGACGGAATTTAAGAAAAAATTAATATCGTATAAGTTGTAAAATAATCATTCATTCCAAAATTTCTAACATGCGATAAGGAAAATGATAAAATCTTTACAATTATAGTGCGACTTGTTTAATCTCAGCACATGTACGTTACTTCACGTGTAATAAAGCAACTTTTTTATTTCTACAGGCACATCTCAAACGCCATTCTTAACAAGTAAGTATCATTCAAACAGATCGAAAATAAAACCGTCTGAAAATAATTTCATTTGATTTCAATTTAATGTTGCATCGTAAAGTTATCGTTTTGCGTAATGGGACCTATATTTATTCTTGCAGCAACAGGGCGGCAAGAATTGTGTCATCTTGACGATGGTATGAAGAATCCTGCCTATATTCCAAATCGAAATATCAAGACATCCTCTACAAAGAATGGACGGAAGCCGACAGACATACGACCTGGTGGTGATGTGTGGACATCCAAAAAGAACGACAAGAAACCAAAAATCGAAATCACACTCGGAGACAAAGCCGTTCCGACACGAAGCGTCAAGGTTATAAAAACACGAAATGTGAAAAAAGTCAAAGTTATCTTTCACTTAGCAAACAAGAAGAAAATCACCAAGGTTGGTATTGTATTTTTTATTGATCTCTTTATTTTAAGCATCCATTGAAATATCACGTTTTTGTAAGGCTGTAAATGGAAATTGTGGCGGAGGTTTGTACATCACAATTCATACGATTTCAGCCTAGTGAGTTTTCTCTTTCATGCTGCGAAATTTACCATCAGCCGATTCTGGCTCTAGTCAGCAAAATCGGTGTTTGGTTTTGCGTAATTGACGCCCCTTCTGCTATACTATCTTTTTTTCAGTTTAGGTTTGAAACCTCACGAAACTAAGAAGTCATAACTCTAGATAAGTTGGCGGCTGTTTTGTCTTTTGCAGATTGTCAAACCGGATGAGAAAGCATACGTCAGCGACAAAAATAAAAACGTCCACAAGATTATCGTCTCCCTAATTAAAAAGAATCGACGTCGGCCAGTTAGTGCTGAAGTGATTGTCAAGGCTTGTTTCCATCCAAAGACCACTACAGCAATGCCATCAACCTTTGTCTACACTACGCAATCTACCATCACGGGTAAGGTCTTGCTTCTCTTTAAGATCGACATTTTTCGTCATGATTTATAAACTACAATGTTTCTGTCTGAATTTATTCACACATCCGATAGCTAGAACCAAGAACCATCAATTGACTTAAGTGTCTATTACTTATTGGGTTTAACAGGTTTCATTGAAAGCAATAACATTTTGCACGTATCAAGATCAGCATTAACATTGTATCACAGTTTTCGTTGATAAAATTCCTCACACTTGAAAGACAGTATTTAAAAAGAATAAAATTATTATCGTCAGAGTTTTAAAAATAATAAATATGAATTATTTCATGCCGGTTAGTTACACTAGATGTGTAAGTGGTGTGATTATTAAATTCCTCAAACGGCCCTGGGAGAGCAAAGTTTCCATAGCTGCTCCTTTTCGCTGATGTGCCATTCAAAATAGTTCCATTGTGAGGCTATATTCTTCGTGAGATGATGGGGACATTCTTGTAATTTATTCTTTTTAACTTGTTTACCAGATTACTTTTCAGTAATGCATTCTTTTCTGAATGTTGCCAATGAAAGCAACACATTTCATCACTGCGTGATTCTGTCAAAAAGTTTCTCCCTTATTTAGAAGGTCCGATAAAGCGTGAAGTCGACATTCTTTCAGTCTTCAGTCTTTGATGAAATTTGTCTTATTCCTCAATCGTCTTCTGGAATCTGTCGTATTATTTTGCTATTCGTCTTCTGTTGTCAGTCACACGCTCTGAATTTTCGATTTGAACTCACCAAGGTTCGCACTCTCTCCTTATTTGCATCTTTTATGTCTGATTTTGGCTGCCCATTTTTACGTTAATATGCAAATCAACTCGTGCTTCCTTGAAACGCCTGTGCTACTCAGAAATATTCGATTTCTTCATAGCACGTTCACCATAACCAGGGCTAACGTCTGATGAACACTTTTACCGCTCCTTACACAAAATCTGATGTTCATCTGCTGCTAAAGATTCACTTTCTGCCAACATTATGTCATAAACACATAGAATTTCCTCTACTGATCAGCAACGAATGCTTCATCTTGTCTGCGTCTAAAGGAAACAGAAGTTGGAAGATGTCCAGACAAAATCGGATTAATTTTTCTCTAACAAATTATCCCAAAGATACGCTACGGTCGTTCCATGAATGAACAAAGTTTGTCGGATTGTCTGTAGTTGTGTGATTTTTATTTTGTTTCTGTGGTCGCTAGGAACGCAGAAACTACATCGACAATGAAAAATATTAACAGTGTTTTGTACAAACAATAGAATCGCCCAGATTATGATTTCTATCGAATCTGTAGATGAGCATCCCCATGTATTGTGTCGCTCAACAAATTGTACTGATATTTTCTGTTGTTCTCTTACAGAAAAGACACAACGTTGTGATGACGTGGACGGTATGAAGAATCCTGTCTTCATCCCGAACACCAATATCAAGACCAGTTCGACAAAGAGAGGAAGTAAATCCGAATACGTCCGACCTGGTAGTCGTGTATGGAGCTCGACAAAACTTGATAGAAGCCCCAGAATCACCGTCCTTCTCAGTAAGAACGGGGTTCCAACGGATAGAGTCACCGTTATTAAGACACGCAACGTGAAAAAAGTCAAAGTTGTTTTCCGATTAGAGAACGGACAAAAACTCACAAAGGTCAGTGACCAAAATACGATCGCTAATTCGCTCATGAATTGAAAACATTATATTCTGTAATTTCTATATATTTTTACGTACACAGCATTCCATGATTTTTTCTCATCTATCATGTCGCTCGGTGTCTTACTCTGTTTGATAACATTCTCTCTCTCTCTCTCTCTCTCTCTCTCTGCCTCTCTCTCTCTCTGCCTCTCTCTCTCCCTCTCTCTCTGCCTCTCTCTCTCTCTAATAATTGTTTTCCAAATCCAATTTAATCATATCGCATAAAATGAATAAACAAACATTTTGCCAGAACCTTGAAGATGAACTTTATCGTTGTCTCTTCTCGTCAAACAGTTCACAAGACCCGGTAAAGCGGCAATAAACAGCCAACCAAAGATGAAAGTCCAAAGCGTCGAGGTGTATCTGTCTAAGAAGAATCGACGTCGTCCGGTGAGGGCTGCTCTGTCCATCAAGGCCTGTTTCCCTCGAAAGATCGCCACAACAGCTTCAACACCAGGTAAGGCAATGCAATAAAATCATGGACGTCCTTCGCTTTAGCATTTGCTTCGATTATCTGGATGCGCTGATTGTTTAATGGATAGCCACTCGGAATGAGAAATCGTAGAGCCGCAAATGCCCGTAGCAAATGCATAAATCCATTTCTTCTTCCTCCCAGATATGAGTTAAATAGTAGGATTTGTTTCCGATAACAAACATTTTTATCTCCAAAGATATATTAATGCAAAATTCAGTCGTACAAAAGAACTACTCGTCCAATGCGGGCTTTAAATAAATCACAAGGGTGATAAGGCGTAAAAACAAATAAACCTAAACTCTAAACACTACAATGTTAACCATTTCAGTTCAATGGTTAGTATGTTATTCTTTCATCGATGATCATCGATGAATATAACAACCTAATATATATATATATATATATATATATATATATATATATATATATAATATATATTATATATAGAATATATATAGAATATATATTATATATATATATATATATATATATAATATATATAGAATATATATTATATATATATATATATATAAAATATATATAATATATATATATAGTATGTAATATATATAATATAGATATAATATAGATATAATATATTTAATATATATATATAATATATATATAATATACATAATGTGGATATATATATATATATATATATATATATATATATATATATATATATATATATATATATATATATATATACATATATATATATATAATATAAGAACCTAATGAATTCAATTCATTCAATCCGTTGCACTGGTGATTTCAGATCATTTATTGTCACTAAAATTATTATTTTTCGCCACTTTCTTCACCTTCAATTTTAATAAATTGAAATAAAATTTCTACTTTAAATCTTTTAAAACGTGCAAACACTGCTTCCATTTTTCAGTCATTTTACGGCCCCTTTTGACATTGCATTAAAGACATTCATTTTTCAAATGTTTCATAAAAGGAACAATACTTGTATTTAGCATAATTACCCAAGTCTTACTCAAGCAATCTATGACATACATACGAAATGCATCTGACCAATTTATTTAAACAATGCATTCCATAAATAATTGCGTTTACATTTTCAGCTATTTTAAAGACTGTTCTTTCTTTTATCTTTCCAGGCACATCTGAAACACCATTCTTAACAAGTAAGTATCATCCAAACAGATCGAATAAAATAGCTTCGATTTCAATCTGAAAATTATTTTCATTCAGTTTTAAATTAATGTTGCATAGTTAAGTTATCGTTTATCTTCACGAAAACTATATTTCTTCTTGCAGCAACAGGACACCAAGAATTGTGTAATCTTGACGATGGTATGAAGAATCCTGCCTATATTCCAAATCGAAATATCAAGACATCCTCTACAAAGAATGGACGGAAGCCGACAGACATACGACCTGGTGGTGATGTGTGGACATCCAAAAAGAACGACAAGAAACCAAAAATCGAAATCACACTCGGAGACAAAGCCATTCCGACACGAAGCGTCAAGGTTATAAAAACACGAAACGTGAAAAAAGTCAAAGTTATCTTTCATTTAGCAAACAAGAAGAGAATCATTAAGGTTGGTATTTTATTTTCATTGATCTCTTTATTCCAAGCATGCATTGAAATATCCCTTTTTGTCGGGATGTAATTTGAAATAGAGGCGAGAGTTTTTGCGCCACAATTCATAGGAATTCGCCGATTGCGTTTTCTGTCATTTATTCATCTGAATTTATATTGGCGACTCTGTTTTCAGCCAGTAATATACTGGAAGTCATTACTACAGCACAATCTTCCTTTATTATCACAAGTCGTAATGCCGAGTAATTTTCATTTCATTATTTCAGCTTGCAACGAAGTATCAATATATTTTTAAAACGTGTTCCAGCACAATTTCCCAGGAACTAAACAGGAAGAATTCTCCCAACAGGATGTTATCAACAAAACGGTTTATGACCATCTTTCGCATAAAACAATAAATCGGGTCATAAATTAAGGGGAGGTAACCTCACTTAAATTGTCTCTTAATATTTAAACGTCTTTCTTTCAAAAATAAAATATTTAATTATTTTTCCTATTATTTTATCTATATATAGTTCATCTAATATCAATTGCTAGGACACAAAATGCATGGTTTTTAGCGAAAAGGAAAGCCCAATATGCGAATTACGAATTGGAGATACCAAAAACAAACAAGTACAGCAATTTAAATATCTAAGAAGTGTTTTAACAGAGAACGGAAAGTATAACATTAAAATCCGAAGGAGCATTGTGATAGCAAAAAATGCCTTCCAAAAGCTAAGCAAAATACTAAGAAACAAGAATACTTCGTTAGAAACAGAGTACTGAACTTTTACATAATATCAGTCCTTTTATATGGTAGTGAATGTCAGATAAAGAAGAGACTTGAAGCAACAGAAATGTGGTTCTACTGAAGGATACTGAGAATACCATGGACCGAACATGTGATCAACGTCGAAGTTTTGAGAAAAACAAATGATAACTAAAAAGGACGCTTATAATTAATATCAGGAGACAGTTGAAATTTCTAGGGCATATAATGAGGTAAGAGGGTTGGAAATTTTGATACTCACAGGATAGATTGAAAGCAAGAAAGGCAAAGGAAAACAACGCACAATCTACCTAACGGCCAAATTTTATTAAGAGCTACAAATGAAATTGTGGAGAGCCATGATCGCCAACATCCTGAATGGACACGAAATTCGTTTTTTTTTTATCTAGGCTTTTTGAACTAGGCTTTTTTTATCTCGGCTTTTTGATTTAAGCTTTTTTTGTTATAGGGTCTTTTTCACTTCGGCTTTTATCTGGGCTTGTTTAATCTGGGCTTTTTGAACTAGGCTTTTTAATCTAGGCTTTTTTGATCTAGGCTTTTTTTAACTAGATTTTTTTATCTAAGCTTTTTGATCTAGGCCTTTTGATTTAGGCTTATTATCTAGGCGTTTTGACTTCGGCTTTTTGATCTCAGCTTTTTGATCCCGGTTTTTTTTATCTATGCTTTTTAGTCTAGGCTTTTTGATCTATGTCTTTTTATCTAGGCATTTTGATCTATTCTTTTTAATGTAGACTTTTTTGATCTAAGCTTTTTGATCTAGCCTTTTTGAACTAGGCTTTTTTTATCTTTGCTTTTTGATCTAGGTCTTTTGATCTCGGCTTTTTGAACTAGGCTGTTTTGATATGTTTTTTTTTTATCTTGGGGTTTTTTTTTAAATAGATTTTTGGTTCTCGGCTTTTTGATTTAGGCTTTTTGGCCTCGCCTTTTTTTTATCTAAGCTGTTTGATCTAGCCTTTTTTTTATCTAGGATTTTTTATCTCGGCTTTTTAATGTAGGTTTTTTTAATCTAGGCTTTTTTTTGATCTAGGCTTTTTTTTGATCTAGGCTTTTTTTTTGATCTAGGCTTTTTTTGATCTAAGCTTTTTGAACTAGGTTTTAGATCGTTTTACTTTGCGTTCTGTTCATTGCTTATTTTCCCACTTTTTCTTACTTGTTTTAATCCTGTTCTTTTTTGTACAAATGTCTTAGTGTTGTTATATTTTAAGTGTATACGATTTATTTGAAGTTACCCTTTCCAGATCGCTGTCTTGTAAATTTTGTTGCTTTTACTTCCTGAGACAACAATTCAAATGTCTCTTCATCAGTCATCTTTATTTTTACCGAATCACCAACTTTGATCTAGTCTTTTTAATGTAGACTTTTTTGATCTAAGCTTTTTGATGTAGCCTTTTTGAACTAGCGTTTTTTTATCTTTGCTTTTTGATCTAGGTCTTTTGATCTCCAACAAATGAAGTTAACTTTTTCAGCTAACACGGTGTCTTTTATTATTGCACTTTCTTGTTCTTTATTTGCTTTTCTCTCTCAGATGTTTTTAAATTAAATCGTTTCTTCCAGTCGCGTGGTCGTGTAGTATTCATTTTGTAACGCATTAAAAGTTCAGCTTGAACGGATGTTTCATTTTTCAAAGGCATTCTGCTCTGAATGGTCAAAAAAATTCCAGCATTGTTTTATTTTTAGTAATTACAACATAGATTGGACGGCAGTATCTGGGATATATCTACCCAAATATTGTATCATATCAAATATAGATTTCAATTCATTTAATGAAGTAGGAGCATCTATTTTTTAATGTCTTTTTTCTTTCATCATTTCTTGGTTATATTACTTTACTCGATACAATATGTCCAAAACATTTTCAGTTTTTTCTATATTCTCATTTTTCTTCCTTTTTTTTTAATTCAGCTTGTTGCAGGATTTGTCATGCTTCTTTTAGTGTTTCGTTTCATCTCTTTGTATATTTTTTCTATGTATTAATTCCTTCCATGTTTTCAAATAATTCTGACGCAATTGAGATGCCAAAAGGGAGTTTTACTTTTAAATAAAATCTCCCAAAAAGCGTCATGAATGTTGACAATGAGCGACTGTTTTCCTCTAGAGTCAATTGACCAATTCCGCGTCATGAATGCTGACAATGAGCGACTGTTTTCCTCTAGAGTCAATTGACCAATTCCGCGTCATGAATGCTGACAATGAGCGACTGTTTTCCTCTAGAGTCAATTGACCAATTCCGCGTCATGAATGCTGACAATGAGCGACTGTTTTCCTCTAGAGTCAATTGACCAATTCCGCGTCATGAATGCTGACAATGAGCGACTGTTTTCCTCTAGAGTCAATTGACCAATTCCGCTGGTTACCATCTCACTTGGTAAAAAAGACAGATCATCCTTTCAATTTTGGAGACATGTCTCCCAACGTGGGTAACATTTAATTCTTTTTTTTTTTCAAATAGTCACATATCTTGATGTCCTCTCCTTCTGCCATACACCCAACCCCCACCCCTGATACAATTGGGGTGCGCCCAGTCGGTCTGTCCTGTTCTTTTATGTATGATGCCTTCATTCTCTAAACATTTTAACTCACTTTTAAACTCAGGAAGAAGTGGAAAGAGACTTCGTCACGGCACCGATGTACACTGTCGTACAGCGTCATCTTGAAGCGTAATCTTGATAGGATCACCTGTCATTTTCCTCCCACATGTTTGAACTTACCCACAACTGTTACCATAAGCAACACCACGTGACAATACATTTTATGTGTGTACCCTTTATACCTTTTAAAGGGTGTTCCAATAACTTAGACCGATTTTAAATGTGAATTAAGTTTTTCTTTTTCATTCAGATTTCGTGGACATTTGGTCGATATTATTTTTCACACATAATTGCCATGACTAAAATAACATGATCCAATAGAGAAATAAATAAATTTTTACCAATAACACAGATTTATTTACTTTGATCCGTCTTAATGAAACACCCTTATATATAATCCATCTTAATGAAACACCCTTTATGATGGTATTCTTATGACAAAAACTCCCTTTACAGTTTAATATTCCTCCGAAACTTTTGGAAATACTCTTAGTCGGTAATAATTTGGGTTTGTTTCGTTGATTAATATATGTGTTGGCCGTTTCGTTGATTAATATATGTGTTGTACAGTATGGCCGTGTATCGATTTTAAAGCCGATGACTTTTCCACGGATTTGCAAAGTAACATATCATGAAACACTCTGCTTCTTATTTGTGACTAGCAGTAGAGCCCGGCGTTGCCCGGGGATGTAACAGTAAGAGATAGATCAAGTATCGACCATCATAAAGACTGAAAAATAAAATTGACAAAGATTATTGTTTAAGGTTGACGGACACGCATGTCTTAATTAGTTTTTGTTTTTGTTTTTTTTACGAATTGGTCAAACCCAAACTCAAACAAAAACATTGTTTTCAATCATTATGAGTCTACCGATTGAATAGAATTTTCTTATAAACAATTGTCTTGTAAATGGAATTTTTAAAGCATTCTGAATGTAAAAACAAAGAAAAAAGTGTGCAAGACAATAAGAAACACTACCTGCCAAAAAAAGTGAAGTTTTGTTGAAATCGGTTGAAAAATGTAGGAAATCCGATCCAATATATAAACGAACAGACACACACACACACACACACACAACCTGGGTTTTATAATAAGTATAATTATGTATCCCAAAACCTGTGCTCCATCATTAGTGGTACTGATTTCTTTTATTGTATATAACTTTGTTTGGCAACAAATTGCTAAATGGACAGGGTTTTTAATCCTTATTTAAAAGTTTTCCCTTTCACCGGGCACAACCTCCTGTGCCATGTACTCTGTTGCATCTTGAACATAGTGACACGTTTCTCTTCATTTCCACCCCAAACCTCTGGCTTTGTTTTCGGGTTGGTCATTTTTCTCTTTCTTTTCTTTTACAGCCTCGATAATCATGGCCCCTCTGACCGCCATTTGTGTTTGAACTTTTGTTCAAACGTCCCAGTCGTTTCTCTTGGTTTCTCAACAGTAATGTCTGGCAGTAATTGAAGGTTTTTCAAGAGTTATTTTCTAATTAGACCAATTGCGAATTTGTATCGAATTCCTTCTTCTTTATTCGCTAATAATCAATATTCTCCTAATTCGTATAGAGATCTGACGTACATTACAATTGATTAGGCCGTTATTATGGCTGCTTTGATGAAAACTCGCACGCATATTGATTATATTTCTTTTCGATGTAAAATAAACACCAAATTCTGTTGTAACTGTTGTCAAAATTTCTCTTTTCTCCTTTCTTTTTTGAGATGAGAAAGAAAAGTAGTTTTATGATTCACTTCCCATCACAGAAGAAAGCATTTAACTGCCTTTCGCTAGAAACTCCGTTTAGTTTTGACGTTGCTTTGTAACATAAAAAATCTTGTTGGGGTCCGTCTACCCAGGTTTTTGTTTTTATCTGATTGTCGGGATCCCAAGCATTTAACAACAACAGATCTTTTAAATGAAACATAAAAAGATTATTTTCTGAAGGAAAAGTAGAAGCAGAACGCAAGTCGAAATTACATTTATAGATTCTTTTCAGAAATATAAAACAACTACAAAATTTTCTTTGCAGTGAAGTTTGTTTTATAAAATAATTAAGTGTTCTTAGGGCGGTGTGAAATGTGTGAACAGACTTACTTTATGATGGTCAGCTTAATGTGTTTGTGAGTTCGTAGACAAAGACTTAGTAGGTGGTTACTGGTTAATCCCTTCTATTTTGTGTGTGGACAAGGGTTTAACCGGCGGCTACTGGCTGTCTCTCTTCCATTGTGTGCGTGTGCGTGTGGTGCGCATGTGTGTACGCACGTACAGATCAAACTGGCTTCCGAAATTGTTGTGAACACCGAGCAGTAGTATGCTTTTATTTTGCTATCCGTAAGGGCATTCAAAATCTCATTTCACACAGACGTGGGAACAAGGTTTTCGTTAGTTAGAAAATAATTTCACACTGGTTTGCGAAAATCTTTTTTTCTCAAATTTTCGAGAGTTTGAAGGGAGTTATTATTGTTATTTTATAAATGGTCCAAAAATAACATGTGGTAGGTTTACAACTCCGTCCACAAATATTTTGGTGCTATTTGCTCTTGTAATGATTGTTTGTCAAACAAAACTTCTGATGGAATTTAATTGGTTGAAAAATATAATTCCTATAATGTTTTAAGATACGGTGTTGTCAGCATTTTCAGGTGACTGCAATAAAGATATCTTTTTTTTTCTTCTTTTTTGCTTTCGTTTTTTTCGAATTATTTTTTTTATTTTGATTCTGACACTATGTTTTATTTATGATACAAAATGCAGCACCTTTGCACGTGAACAAAACATGAATAATTCAACAAACAGGACTATTTATTACCAACTATCGACTAAAAAAATAAAACGTGTCAATATAAAGATAAAGGAAGGTAAACACGACTAATTAATCTCTTAATATTTAATTAACATTAAACAATCGTTGGGCTGCTTTGTCTTCTACAGACTGTCAAACCGGATGAGAAAGCCTGCGTCAGCAAGAAGAATAAAAATGTCTTCAAGGTTATCGTCTACCTGACTAAAAAGAATCGATGCCTTTTACATTTAATGTTTGTTTGAAAATCGCAAAACTAGGAAGACATAACGTTGTGTAATCTTTGGGCTGCATTGTCTTTTGTAGATTGTCAAACCTGATGAGAAAGCATACGTCAGCGACAAGAATAAAAATGTCGGCAAGGTAATCGTCTCCCTAATTAAAAAGAATCGACGTCGGCCAGTTAGTGCTGAAGTGATTGTCAAGGCTTGTTTCCATCCAAAGACCACTACACCAACGCCATCAACTTATATTTCAACATCGCAAACTACCGTCACAGGTAAGAACTTGCTCTTCTTTGACATCGACATTTTTCGCATTGTTAGATGAACTATGCCATTTATGTTCGTCCATAACTCCATTCCGACATCGAATAATAATAAGCAATAACTATTGAAAACATGGAACCTTTAATTAGTTCCCAGTTGTTAAGATTCATTGAAAACCCAAGAATTCGTCAAATATCTTTAAAATAAAGAAAAAAACAATGATCCATCGAAACTTCCGTTGGTAAAATGTCCTCATATCAACTTATCCACTTGGTATCCATATCAACTTATCAATTCATTCGCTACTAGATTTAAACCTTGCAACTTGTTATTTCTGACATGCAATATTAAAAACGATCATTCTTTACAACTATAGAGTAAGAAACAATACAATCTCGTTCAGACTATGATTGCTATGACATTTCCAGATGAAAAGCCATCTGCCCATATTTATTATGGTGGTTGTCAAAATACAAAGCTAAATTTTAATTTCCTGCTACAACATCTAAGTATGTTACTCTATAATAGATAGAAGACATCGATTTACTTAGCTATTAAAACAATGCATTCCTAAGATATTTGCACCCATTTTTCAGTTAATCTGAATACAATTGTTTTTTTTTAATTCTACAGGCACATCTCAAACACCATTCTTAATAAGTAAGTATCATCCGAACAGAAAAAAATACCTTTGATTTAACTCTGAAAACAATTTCAAATTAATGTTGAATCATTAAGTTATCGTTTTGCGTAATGAAACCTATATTTGTTCTTGCAGCAACAGGGCGGCAAGAATTGTGTCATCTTGACGATGGTATGAAGAATCCTGCCTATATTCCAAATCGAAATATCAAGACATCCTCTACAAAGAATGGACGGAAGCCGACAGACATACGACCTGGTGGTGATGTGTGGACATCCAAAAAGAACGACAAGAAACCAAAAATCGAAATCACACTCGGAGACAAAGCCGTTCCAACACGAAGCATCAAGGTTATAAAAACACGAAACGTGAAAAAAGTCAAGGTTATCTTTCACTTAGCAAACAAGAAGACAATCACCAAGGTTGGTATTGCACTTTGATTGCTGTCTTAATATATAGCATACATTCGAGAGTCATAAGCTTTCAACAATTTCATTTTCTTTGTTATTAATTTTGGCAAGTTTACTTTGGCTTGTCTGGTTTTAGCCAACATCATTGACTAACAATCTTGTGTAATGACAGCATAGAAGACACTCTAATTTCTATGACACAATCTACATTTTACATTTAATGTTTGTTTGAAAATCACAAAACTAGGAAGACATAACGTTGTCTAATCTTTGGGCTACATTGTCTATTGCAGATTGTCAAACCGGATGAGAAAGCATACGTCAGTGACAAGAATAAAAATGTCCGTAAGGTAATTGTCTCCCTAATTAAAAAGAATCGACGTTGGCCAGTTAGTGCTGAAGTGATTGTCAAGGCTTGTTTCCATCCAAAGACCACTACACCAACACCATCAACTTATATTTCAACATCACAAACTACCGTCACGGGTAAGTATTTGAACTTCTCTGAGATTTTTCGCCAAGTTACATAACATGAAAAACGTCTGTTCGACCGAAACTGTATTTACACATCAGATAACAAAATACAAGTACTACCAGAACGTTAAAGGCTTTACTCGCCTTTCAATTATCGAGATCAACGGGCTTTGTTTGAAAATAAAGTCTTTTTAAATATCTTAAAAGAACAACACTAAAATTGCATCGCAGTTTCCGTTGATAAAATTCCATCACAATTGAAAGACAAAATTTAAAGAAAAAAAACTAGTGTCGTCTGAATTGTAAAAATAATAAAAATGAATTATTTCATGCCGATTAGTTACACTAGATGTGTAAGTGATGTGATTATTAAATTCCTCAAACGGCCCTGGAAGAGCAAAGTTTCCATATCTGGTCCTTTTCGCTGATGTGCCATTCAAAATACTTCCGTTGTGAGGCTATACACTTATGAGGTGATGGCGACATTCTTGGTATTACCGGACTACCTTTCAGTAATGTAAACCAGTTTTTCTCTGGATATTAAGAATGTTAACACATCTCCTTGAAAACACAACGTTTTATCACTGTTTTGTTTCTATCAAAAATGTTTCCCTTATACAGAAGGCCCAATGAAATATTAAGATGGCGTTGTTTCTGGTCACCAGTCAAGGCTCAAGACAGTTTTAAAGGAAATCGTTTTAATTCCCAATTTCATCTGCTGGTATCAACCGTACATATTCACGTCTACTATCGGTCAGAAACTTAACAATTTATTTCATCGCTTGTGCCACTCAACATTACTCCATTTCTATATAGTATGTTCACCATAAGCCATTTTTAATAGGGCTAACGTTTCTCAAACAACTTTACGACTCGATACGCAAAACTAATTGTTCATCAGTTACTACAGATGCCTTTCACTCATTTTCTACCAACAGTACGTATGACATGAACACATAGAACTTCCTCTACTGCTCGGCAACGAATTCCTCGTTCAGCGTTTTAATGAACATAACCAGACGAGATCGGGCACAGATTTTTTCTTGACTCATTATCCCAGCGACTCGTTAGAATCGTTGCAGCAATTACATTGTCAAATACATTTTTTTGTTTTTTAATAATTTCAGCCTAAGCGAAACAGTAATGCCTCTAGTACGCAGGGTGTTACTCAGAATGGAAGAGAATGAAAAGACAGACTTTGGTAAGGAGAAAGGACAATAAAAGAACGGGATTCAGGAAGACAGAAGAAGGCAATGTGCGTTGTATTTAAAGTTTTGAAGATTGTAGGTGGCAGAGAAACAAGAAGTCGGAAGGGAATTCCACATGAGATAACTTAGAATAATCTTTCACCAATATTCTTTAGTTATAGAGTGACTTGCTTAAATCTCAATTCAAATAATTTACCCCCGGGTCTTGCAAATCAGTTTCATCTTCGATAATTAAAGACACTAACAATATTTCGTACAAACATTCGGAGTCTATATCAAAGACGATTTTCCCCTGTGGCAGAGACGAAAAGACGAGGAACACGATCTTCCGTATATGTGCTTCCGCGTGACACTTATCCATAGTACCACATTCGTCTTTTCTCTCTATCGTCCTTATGACAAAAGGACGGTAATCTTCGACAGACTATCCGAAAAGATTGACAATATACTTACTCAATTCCACTCGTTCAACTTTCATATCTGCGGTGATTTCAAAATCCACCATAAAGAATGGCTATTCCACTCCAACAAAACCGATGTCGAGGGCAGATATTGCACAGACTTCTCCATCGCCTATGATCTAACCCAGATCATCGGAGAACCTACCTGGGTCCCAGACAAGACGGGACATCTGGCGAACCTCATCGGTCTCTTCCTAACTTCCTGCCCTGATAAATACCTATCAAAAGTCTTACCTCCACTAGGTACGTCAAACTTTTCCTCAATGAGTGTCCAGATTGGTGCCAAACTAAGGCCTCCCCTGATGTACCGTTCCAGGGAACGATTTTTCGCTATGCGAAGGCAGACTGAGACAGGTTTTTATCCTAATGGAAGGTCCCCTCCTAACCTTCTTCAAGCATGCTGCCTCAAAAAATGCTGCCCTTGTCACTGATTGGATCCTTTCTGAAATAGAGAGTTTTATGCCCACAAAAATTCCATCAAAATCCAAACAGTTAACACTGGTCCACTCCTGAATGCGCTGCAGCCATAACTTACCGAAACCATTGCTTCAATATCTATCGCAAGGAGTCATGTAGTTCGGTCTTCATTGCATTCAGAACTTCCCGCAGTTGCTGCAAAAAAAGTTCTAGGAAACGCCAATTGCAGCTACACATGAGCAGTCCAGAAAATGGTTGAAAAGAAACAACTTGGATCCCATGAATTCTGCAAGATCACCAACCAAATCGTTAACAGAGGCAAGGCGGCTGTGCTCACAATTATAAATGACCCCGAGGTCAAATCTTGATCGATAGATAAGGGAACCTCTTCGGCCCCATCTTCGCCTCTAATTCAATATTAGATGACAAAGACCATCCCCTCCCCAAGTTCCCACGTCTCACTGGACACAATATCAATAATATTACCATCACAGCACGAGAATCTCTACACTTATAAAAAGGCCTTGACCCTAAGAAAGCCACTGGTCCAGACAAACCTCCAGTGGCTGTCTTTAAGAATATCAACTCGTAATTATCCCCAATCCTAGCAAAGTTATTCAATCTCTGCTTGAAGGATAAACCCTTCCCAAACCTGTTGAAAGTGACAAGCATATGCCCGGTTTTCAAGAACGTGGTCGCGCGATCTTCCTCCTCCAAGTAAAGACACATCAGTCTCCTCAGTATCATCAGCAAACTCTTTGAAGCCATAATCAATAAGGTCGTCGAGCACCTAGAAAAGGAAAAACTCTTCAACGACGTGCAGTTTGGGTTTCGATCGGCCCAGTCCACCGCTGATGTTCCATCTACCATCACCCACAGAATCAGTGAGGCTCTTGACGGCAAACACACCTCGAAAACTATAGCACTAAACATGTCAAAGGCCTTCGACAAGGTGTAGCACAAAGGCTTACTCTACAAGCTTTCCTGTTATGGAATCACTGGAAGAGTCTTCTCGGTCATAAAATCCTTCCTAACAGGTAGGTTCCTGAAGGTAGTTTTCAATGGCCAGTCCTCTGGAGCTCAAGAGGTCAACGCAAGCGTACCCCAGGGGTTACTCCTCGGACCAACCCCTTTTTTGATCTACATAAATGATCTAACAAAGAATATACTCAGATCATTTGTAAACATGATGATACGACTTATATACGGGCGCACCTCTAAAACTCTCGATGGTCAGAGATTGGCGACTGAGCTTCTCTTCTGATCTTGCACATCTCAATGCATCGAAGACCAAGCATCGCCGATCTACCACCTGAACTAGCACCAATCAGGATGAACGGAGGTCCTCTCGGAGAAGCACCGTGCCTTGAAAGAATGTTGGTCCTCAAACTCACACTCAACCTCAAGTGGAACTCGTACATATGATCCATTGCATTACAACAGTACCTCATTTTTGACCTGATCTGTCTCTTGTAAATGTAGAGGATATCAGGAGGAGTTAGGTACTTACTTCAGCGGTACAGAGAGTCGACCATTTCAGCTGCATTGTAAGATTTTTTTATAGCGAGGTCCAGCCTTTACAAGGCCCGGGAGCCACTCGAGGTAGAGGGTTACGGTTGGAGGCCATTTGTGTGCATAGGAGTGGAAGATAATGACTAACTCTAGCCTTGAACAAGTTAAGGTTACAGCTGTAAAAAAAAAACTTTCTACATTTACAAGAGACAGATCAGGTCAAAAATGAGGTACTGTTGTCATATTAGGGAGGATGCAGCCCAGATCTCACTATCCAGGATGGATAGAGTTCAAAAGCGTCACCAAGCCCTTGTGGGTGACGAATTAATTCTCCACCCTTCAATCTCTCTTCCACACGATGGATCAAGCCTCTCGCTGTTCTACGGCTACATTCACAGAAAGTGCTCGGACGAACTCCATTCCCTGATCCCGTCGAGGAAAACCTTCACGGAAAGAACACACAATGCCACTTACAAACCAACCGAATTCCTTCCGTATCCCATCGATGAGAAGTAAGTTCTACTCGGACAGATTTATCCCACGAACCACTTCCCTGTGGAACCGATTCCCAAGAGGATGTTTCCTGGATCACTGTAACCTTAACTTTTTCAAGGCTAGAGTTAATCATTATCTCCCACTCCTATGCACACAAATGGCCTCCAACCGTAACCCTCTACCTCGAGTGGCCTCCGGGCCTTGTAAAGGTTGGACCTCGCTGTAAAAAAACTTACAATCGTCCAGATTACGATTGCTATGCCATGTGTACATGAAAAGTCCCATGTATAGTGTTGCTTAACAAAATGCACTGATATTTTCTGTTGTTCTCTTACAGAAAAAGCACAACATTGTGATGACGTGGACGGTATGAAGAATCCTGTTTTCATCCCGAACCGTAATATCAAAACCAGTTCGACAAAGAGAGGAAGTAAACCCGAATACGTCCGACCTGGCAGTCGAGTATGGAGCTCGACAAAACTTGATAGAAGCCCCAGAATCACCGTCCTTCTCAGTAAGAACGGGGTTGCAACGGATAGAGTCACCGTTATTAAGACACGCAACGTGAAAAAAGTCAAAGTTGTTTTCCGATTAGAGAACGGACAAAAACTCACAAAGGTCAGTGGCCATAATACGATCGCTAATTCTCTCATGAATTGAAAACATTATATTCTGTAATTTCTATAGTGTTCCCGCACCCAAAATGCCATGAATTTTTCTAATCTATCATCTCTCTTTCCACTTGAGGATACATTTTATCGTTCTCTCTTCTCGCCGAACAGTTCACGAGACCCGGTAAAGCGGCAATAAACAGCCAACCAAAGATGAAAGTTCAAAGCGTCGAGGTGTATCTGTCTAAGAAGAATCGACGTCGTCCGGTGAGGGCTTCTCTGTCCATCAAGGCCTGTTTCCCTCGAAAGATCACCACAATAGCTCCAATACCGGGTAAGGTATTTTAATATGATCATGGAAGGCTTTTCTTTCCTTCGATTATCCAAAGTATTGTCATCATTTTTTAATATAGCAGTCACGTGACTTTTCTCAAAGTATTGCACTGTTGATTCTATGATTTCTGCTGCTTAATAAAATGTTATCTTCTTCACTTTCCAGTAACTTTCTTTTAGAGACATACATCTTTTTATACTACCTATGATATCAAATCTTTTAAAAACAGACAAACACCAGTTTTTGACTTAAGTGATTTAACTGCTTCGTTTTACGCTTCACGTAATGCATGTATCACTTATCAAACTTTCTTTATAAAAGGAACATTGTTTCTATCCCTAACATAATTACCATCATATTCCGCTGTTTCACTATTTCCTTCTATAATCTCCAAGCATATCAATCTATAATACTGACCATTTTATTTTACTTTGCCATATTTACGCGCACATTTTTCGGTTATTCTGTCTTTTTTATTTTTACAGGCACATCTCAAACGCCATTCTTAACAAGTAAGTATCATTCAACCTAATCGAAACAATACACTGGATTTGCTTCTAGAAGAAATTTTCATTTCGATTCAAATTAACGTTGCAAAGTAAATTGTAAATCGTTTTGCGTAATGAAACCTATATTTCTTCTTGCAGCAACAGGGCGGCAAGAATTGTGTCATCTTGACGATGGTATGAAGAATCCTGCCTATATTCCAAATCGAAATATCAAGACATCCTCTACAAAGAATGGACGGAAGCCGACAGACATACGACCTGGTGGTGATGTGTGGACATCCAAAAAGAACGACAAGAAACCAAAAATCGAAATCACACTCGGAGACAAAGCCGTTCCGACACGAAGCGTCACCGTTATTAAGACACGAAACGTGAAAAAAGTCAAAGTTATCTTTCACTTAGCAAACAAGAAGAGAATCATTAAGGTTGGTATTGTATTTTCATTGATCTCTTTATTCCAAGCATGCATTGAAATATCACATTTTTTAAGGTTGTAAATCGAAATTGTGGCGGTGAATTGTGGCATAGTGACTTTTCTCTTTCATGCTGTGAAAATTCCAAACCCGACATTTCAAGATCGAATTTTTATCGGAAATTCACTACAATTCGTACGATTTCAACAATCCAAATTTTGTACAATGACAGCCTCGGAGCCACCTCTTGTTTCTACAATACAATCTTTCAATTTATTCTGATTTTTGAAAGCTCGAAAAAACTAAGAAATCATAACATTATGTAATCTTTGGGCTGCATTGTCTTTTGCAGACTGTCAAACCAGATGAGAAAGCATACGTCAGCGACAAGAATAAAAATGTCCGCAAGGTAATCGTCTTCCTAATTAAACAGAATCGACGTCAACCAGTTAATGCTGAAGTCATTGTCAAGGCTTGTTTCCATCCAAAGACCACTACAGCAACGCCATCAACTTTTATTTCAACAATACAATCTACCGTTACGGGTAAGTATTTCCATTTTTCTGACATTGTCATTTTTTGCAGAGTTACATCACATATAATATTTCTCTTCGACCGAAAATCTATTCCCACAACCGATGACAATGAACAAGAAGCACTGAATTTATGACATCTTTATGTGTCTCTCAGCCGTACAAATTATTTGGCTTCATTGCATGCAACATGTTTTTTCACATATAACAAAATAATATTACATCACAACTTCTGTTGATAAAACATGCGATATTGAAAACAACCTTCCCTCGGCATTTTTCACATTCATACCAGGAGTTGCTTCAATCTCAACAGAAATACTTTGTCTTACAGACAACAAATCAGTTTCATCATCGACAATGAAAGACACTAACAATATTTTATGAAAACATTATTGTCGCCTAGATTACGGTTGCTTTGACATCAGCAAATTGCACTGATATTTTCTGTTGTTCTCTTACAGAAAAGGCACAACGTTGTGATGACGTGGACGGCATGAAGAATCCTGTTTTCATCCCGAACACCAATATCAAAACCAGTTCGACAAAGAGAGGAAGTAAACCCGAATACGTCCGACCTGGCAGTCGAGTATGGAGCTCGACAAAACTTGATAGAAGCCCCAGAATCACCGTCCTTCTCAGTAAGAACGGGGTTCCAACGGATAGAGTCACCGTTATTAAGACACGCAACGTGAAAAAAGTCAAAGTTGTTTTCCGATTAGAAAACGGACAAAAACTCACAAAGGTCAGTGGCCAAAATACGATCGCTAATTCGCTCATGAATTGAAAACATTATATTCTGTAATTTCTATATATTTTTATGTAAACAGCATTCTATGATTTTTTCTCATCTATCATGTCGCTCGGTGTCTTACTCTCTTTTATAACATTCTTTCTTTCTTTCTTTCTTTCTTTCTCTCTCTCTCTTTCTTTCTTTCTTTCTTTCTCTCTCTCTCTCTCTCTCTCTCTCTAATAAGTGTTTTTGAAATCCAATTTAATCATATCGCATAAAATAAACAAACAAACATTATGCCAGAACCTTGAAGATGAACTTTATCTTTGTCTCTTCTCGTCAAACAGTTCACAAGACCCGGTAAAGCGGCAATAAATAACCAACCAAAGATGAAAGTCCAAAGCGTCGAGGTGTATCTGTCTAAGAAGAATCGACGTCGTCCGGTGAGGGCTGCTCTGTCCATCAAGGCCTGTTTCCCTCGAAAGATCGCCACAACAGCATCAACACCGGGTAAGGCAATGCAATAAAATCATGGACGTCCTCCTTTTTAGCATTTCTTTCAATTATCCAAGGCATCATCGATGATCCTCTCATATAGCAGCGTCATGATATCTCTAATTAATTCAATGTGTGACTAGAATTTCTGCCGTTTACTAAAATATAATCTTACCAAACTCTTTTGCCGTTTGTGTTCCAGGTCCGACAACTCTTGCCATAACAACCACTCGAACTCCACGTAAGTCCAAACATACTTTACTTCTTTTCTTTAGATTCTAACTTCTCCAATGATGGTCAAGATGGAAAACAGAAATAACACTAAAAGAATACATTACTAAATTTGTAGATAATTCCTTCCAGTTGTTTTTTTTAAATCCCGTCTTGATCTTTTTTTTTATTTGCTTTCATCTGATTCCTTTCTTTCTCTTTTATTACTTCCCGCATTTTTATTCTGTTCAACTCTTTTTATCAACATTGTTCTTCAGTTTTGTTAACAAAATCTTCTCATCAACCACTTTAAGTTTAGCTTTCCAGAATTAAAATTACCTCATTTCATATTTCATCTGCTGTAATTATCCTAAATTAATTTTCATTCTTAGCCCATGATATTTTTCTACAGTCAGTTGGTTTGAATCGCTTTCTTTATTCATTGGTTTTATAAAATTCATTTTTATTCACTTCGACTTATAAAATATCTTGACGCTAATAATTCTTACAAGGAAAGGATTTTTGAACATGTTGGTCAAGTAACTTTTCTCTTCAAACGTTCTTCAGGTTTCTGTTTGGATCGCTTGAGATTGAAGCCAAATCAATTTACATCTAAGTCTGGCGAAGCTTTTAGTGCCACCTTTTCAGGAAGTGGTTGGTCTCCGGCCAATAAAAAAGTAGGCTTGATTATCCACCTTGGTAAACAAATTGATATCAATGGAATTATCACGAAAGGAGAATCAACGCGGTTCAGAATTCTTTACAAAAATTCCAATGACTCTTGGCAAACCTATACAGCCACATCATCCGCTTATGCAACCGTACGTATTATTGTTTATAATAATAATAATAATAATAATCTATATACAGACATGTTATTTAGTTAGATATTGGAAATTGACTTTAGCCGATAACATTTCAGCACTCTAACATCATAATTTTTGTGACGAATGGTCGGGTTAAAAATCCACATCTATCTATCTATTTATCTATCTATCTATCTATCTATCTTATCTAGCAGTCTTGTCTTATTTATCTTAACTTATCTATCTAAAAGTACGGTTCATCCACTAGCCGGCCTCTACTCAGGAGTTTCATGTGTACATTTAGTACACAACTGTCAGGTGGCCGACATTATTATATACATAGATATAGTTATATAGATAATTATTACTAATATCATAGAATAAAATAGTTCAGTTATGTGACTTTGCATTCAGATTTTCATGTATTTTTACATGCAATTCTGATGTCATGGTGAACTAAATTTATATATATATATATATATATATATATATATATATATATATATATATATATATATTCAGGCAGCAATTTTTCATTGATGCATGTTTCATTAAATAATATAGACAAGTTTTGTCTATTTATTTTAAGTAATTTCCTTTCATATTATCTGATAAGCTTAATAACATTATCATTGAAGGACGAAATCACCATATTGATACATGTTTAAATCCAATCTAAGCTTTCGGCTTACATAAGCCATTATCAAAGATGACAATTACTTTTCAATATATCAACCAATACACGGAACAATAATGATAGTCTGTTTTTGTGGCATAAAAAAATTCAAAGCAATGACTAACTAGTGTATACGAGACGCGGAAGCGAAAATCGCGTTGCAATTCGTGACGTCACACATGAGCACGCGAGAGTTAAAACAAGAAGTATTAAGTATGGGAAACCGTTGCTTCTGTTATCAATTATAGGTATTTAAGAATGTTTGTGGTGATTTAGTAATTTATTTTGTTCATGTTAGGTTTCAATTGTTTTATGTATATAGCTTCAAGAATTTTTAGTTTTAAAACAACATGCCTGGCCGCGTACACAATTCTGGAAAATCCTTGTTGAAAACACAACTATACTTAAACATGAAAACAATAAACAAAAACTAAAATGAAGCAACCCACACTCAACAAAATTACATTTCAAACTAGTCACAACATATTACAGTGCATCTAGATATTGGTTCTGTTGTAATACTATCACCTGCTATGACGTCATAGAACTGCATCTTGAACTTACGATCTGCGTCTGCTATTCCGCGACAGTAAACGGTTTTGCTTTTCAGGCATTTAAAATCAGATCTTTATCTTGATTTGAAACTTGACTGATTGGATCAGAGACTAATTAATAATATATGCACCCCCACCACTGCCACCAGCTTATATAACTCTCAATGTAGAAAGAGGAACATGACCTCTGACCTGTTGGACAAAACAACTGAAGAAGAGAAATAACAAAGAAAAGCTTTCATTTTCTGTTTATAGTCAATGAAATGAAATGAAGCCATGTTTTTTCTGTATACTTTGTCACTATTGGTCATTAGATGATGTTTTTTACAGGTTATCAACACTTTGTCGGTTATTTAAAGCTGAAACATATTTTAAATTGTAGGACGTCGATTACTTAAGTGGTCACTCATCTAAGTACTCCCCATTGCTTAACTTCGGTGATAGAACGAGACTCGATGTTTTTAGTATGATTTCGTTATCTTCATATTGCTTTGTTCCTAACATTAGGAGTCCTGGAAAGTGTATCTGATGGCAATAATATAATATAATATAATATAATATTAGTATAGTCAACTTATCTAAATAACTATGGAAACAGATGGTAAAAGATATGATTGTTATTCGTTACGATTAAAGTAAATAAAGGTGTAAAGAGAAACAAACTTCATCTGAATCTCTAAATATGATTATGAGTTCTGGCATGCTGCTCCAAGAGTTCTGGTGTGCAGTTTAAACAGTTCTGGCATGCTATTCCAAGAGTTTTGACATGCTGCTACAAGAATTCTGGCATGAAGCTCTAAGAGTTTTGTCATGCTGCTCCATTGTTCTGATATGAAGCTCAAAGAGTCCTGCCATACTGCTCCAAAAGTTCTGGTATGCAGCTCCAAGAGTTCTGACTTGCTGCTCCAAGAATTCTGGCCTGAAGCTCCAAGAGTTTTGTCATGTTGCTCCAAGAGTTCTGGCCTGAAGCTCCAAGAGTTTTGATGTACTGCTCAAAGAGTACTGTCATGCTTCTCCAAGAGTTTTAAAATGCTGCTCCAATTGTTCTGACATGCTGCCCCGAAAGTTCTGGAAAAGAGCACCAACAGCTCTAACATTCTGCTCCAAGAGTTCTGGCATGCTGCTGCAAGAGTCCTAACATGCTGCTCCAGAAATTCTGGCATGCTGCTCCAAGATTTTGTCATGCGGCCCCAAGAGTTCTGACATGCTGCTCACAGTGTTATGGCATGCTGCTCCAAGAGTTCTGACATGCTGTTCACAGTGTTATGGCATGCTGCTCCAAGAGTTCTGACACGCTCTGCTCCAAGAGTTGGACGAATGGAACGCATTGCTTCACACTTTGACAGGCAATATTGGAACAGAGACTTTTCTTCTCGGCACTTCCAAAGTTAACAATGTGTATATGTTATGACTGATGAGATAATTCTTAAGTCTGTTACACTTTTGAATGCAGTCTGTTTCTGAAATGGAAATAATGCGGATATGGCTGAGCCTTTAACTTTGTTTTGAATATTTGTCCAAGAGAAAAACCTGTTCAGCTGATACTGACAAATAGGAATATGGAAAGGACAAGGTACTTTTGGAAAATGGCGGCTGTAATCTAGTAACAACTCTAAGTAGAAGCTTATGAAGCTTTATTTGACTCCTTCTGCTTTAGTGCTGAAAAACGTCAATTTTATTGTGATGGATGGTTATAAGCAAGAGGGGAGATGAGAGGTGCTTATTTTATTTCCACAGAAGCATTCATTTTTTCAGTAATAGACTTTAGTTGAGTGATAAATTTTAAAATGTTATTAAGAACATCTTATAGTCCAGAATGATGATGATATTTCATCATTCTAAAACTAACCTTGTCATCAGTGATGATAGATAAGAAGGATATTTCATCATCCTAACCCTCATCATTATAAAAACGACCCTTCCACCACAAGAGAGTAGAGTAGAATAGACTAGAGTACCCGTAGCATTAGTTAGTAGACAAGTAGAAGTACAGAAATACACGACTGCCAACGTTCCGGGAAGATCGAAAACAGACAATTTCAAACGCATCCTAACAAACGAGATTCTCGGAACCAAACCAAGTAAACACTAATTTTTAAACAAAAGAGACACTGAGAACATTTTTACACACACTATACTAATTATTATTATATTATAATTCACATCACAAAAAAAATACAAATTTTTGTTATTTATGTCAACACGTGTCTCAACTTTTTATTGTTGTTATCGTTGTATGTTTATGCATTTTAATTTCTGCCATTAATATCAACCCCACTACAGTCAACAAATAATAACAACGCGGAAAATAATACATCAACACCCATCCAACATTACCTACCCCGTAACAAGCATAACATAAAAAGTTGATGAAAATTGAAAATATACACAATATTTAAAATTCAACCCAGGTGCTTGCTAGGTAAGTGTAACTAAATATCCGTATTCATGCCAACAATAATGAATCAGCGGCGATATCTAAATATCTTCATCTTTATA